ATGGGGTGGTCATAATAATCTGGCCACTCAGTGTATATCCATTTGTGTAGCTTAAACTACTGTAGCACTGACTCTCTGGGCCTCCAGTTCTTTTTACTTTCCTATTGGACTTCCAGACTCTGTAGGGCTGAACCTCATTCATGGTCTTTACCTTTCCCTCCTAACCTGTTTCTCCTCTGTTCCCAACTTACATTAATACCTGCAGCCATCCACTCAAACATGTTAGCTTGAAATCTCAGTCATCCTTGATAATTTCCTTATCACCCAAAAGGTGTAGGGGGACACGGGGATTGGTGATGGACGTTTAAATCTGAACTTCAAGCTCTTGGCTCAGTCAAGGCTGAGCATGAACTGGCCTCCACCTTGCCAGTCCCACCACAGTACATACACTGAGTTTTGTGGGGTTTTTTTTAATCCTCACCCTAGAATGTTTTCATTGATTTTCGGAGAGAAGGGAAGAAGGGGAGGGAGACAGAGAAAAACATTGATCAGTTGCCTCCTGCATACACTTCCGACTGGGGATCAAACCTGCAACTTAGGTGTGTGCCCTAGCTGGGACTTAAACCTTTTGGTATATGGGACAATGCTCCAACAAATTGAGCCACCCAGCCAGAACTGGGCTTTTTTTTTTTTTAATGCTTCTTTCTTTGAACAAAATCACTGTGTCTAGAACACCCTCCCCTTGCTACATAACCAGCTCTCTTCATAGTGAACCCCCATTCATCCTTCTGGGACTAGTCCCAATGTCGTGTAGTGATTCTTAAGAGACCAGCCACTGTCACCTATCCTGAGCCAAGTCACTCATGGTTTTGGTTTCTTAAGGCACAGCAGATATGCTTTTATTAAACTATGTTCAATTGTACCTATTTATTTACTTGGGTTTCTCCTCCATCTCACCTCCCCCAAATTCCTCAAGGAGAGGAATTGGTTCTTATCCACTGTATCTCCCTCATTTAATTGTGGCTGGCACATTACAGACATTTAGTACCTTTGTTGAAAGAAAAAATCTGCTTGCATAGGCACACATGATCCCAAATTCTCCTTCTTATATTACATTTATTTTCTATTCTGAAAGAATAATTATCATCACAGAAAACAGCATCCTTTTCAATTCCAGTGTTTACACCCAAAACTTAATACCAGATATATAGCCATTAACTTTATTTTTTATGTTCAGTAATCATTTTGTTAATGTGCAATTTCTTTTGATCAATTTTTCACTAATTGTAACAACTCAATCCAGAATATTTTTTAAGTTTTTCATTTACATTTATAAATATTTTTGTAGAAGTATGATAGGATGATAATTAAAATGTGTTCAAGGATGAAAATATATTAAAATTAAGTGGAATGGAAATAGAGGTCTAGGGAGAAAACAATGTAAAATAACTAAAAAATAAATTCTTTTTTAGTTAATGGATAATGGTAGCTATAAAACTATAATATTTAGATTATACTGGGTATATTTTTCAAAGACTGATATAAAAGTTATTTTTAAGTATGCTGGAAATTATATCCTTTAGAACTAAACATAACAAATTTATGTCAATTTAGAAATATGTAAAAGAGTATCTACCTAGTTTTTCAAAATCTGTGGGGGTTATGGAAGCATAAAACTTGAAGGCCACTGATATATAGTCTCAAGCTTCAAAAGCGTGCTTTAGTGCTCTAGTCCCACACCCATAATTTAGTTTGATTACCAAACTAAATCACCCTATAGATTTTTAACTTATCCATTCTCTAAAAGAAATTACAAACTAAAGGAACCATGGGGGGAAAGGAAGCAGATTTTCTAATTATCCAGACCAAGAGCTTCAAAAAATGATTGACACTGCATTCTCTCTAAGCAGTAAAAGTTTAGGTTCTATTAGTGTAAGTTTTATTTTATTTCTGCAGTTTCATGTTTTAAAATGCCTTGACAATCTGTATCAATTTTAACCAGTTAACTACCATACGTCCAAAATGGGACTAAATTGGAATTTCTTCCGTATGTGCTGGAATATTTATGAATTTACCATAATTTTCTTACAAACCCAGAGATGTCACTAACAAGTCTGATTTTAAAATTGGGCGACCAGAGTTGATATGCGAGGTTTGCAGCAATAGACGTGCGTGGCGTGTGGGGAAGGTCCACCACTTGCGTACAAAGACGCTTATGGCTTACAAAGGGTTAAAGTCTGGCGTGGTGTTCCATATGATTCCATTGTATGGCTATTCCATAATGTAACCTTTGACATATTGGTGAACATTTACCCATTTATCCATTGCTGAACATTTTATCAATGCAGTGCTTTAATGAACATTGTTAGTCTTACATCTTTATCCACCCCTGCTATGTTTCTTTAGGGCTCATTACTTTTAGTAGAATGTTTGGGTCAAAGAAAATGTACGTATTTAGTTTTCGTAAATACTACAAAATATTGATAGCTATTATAAAATATCCTAAAAGAAATCTACCAACAAACCCACCGAACAACAGAGCGGGCCCATTTCTCTTGTCTAACTGCAGATACTATCAGGCTTTTGACTTTTTTTGCAATTTTAAAAGACATAACATACACACCAAAATGAGAATGATTTTTACCTTAATGAGGCTGTAGTGATTTTCCTATTTAAACTGCAATGCATGACCCCCAGCATTCCTAAATCCCTTTAAATTATTTTTTCTGTATCTTGTACTATCTCCTAGCATTGTATTATTTCTCTCCCCTTATTCTAGTCTGCAAACTCCAAAAGGGCAAAGTTTTTGTTTTTTGTCTCTTTTGTTCACTAATTACTAGTGCCTGGCACATGGTAGACAGATAATTATTGAATTGAATGACGTGGCAGTTTTATGATAAACATGAATTTCAGCCATAGCTGGCATGTTTCTTCTTTGGCCCATCTGTCTCTGTTACACACATCTTCCCAATGAGAAAGTACCCTTAGAGCAGTCACAGCTTCTTAGGCCATGTTACACCTAACAGAACACCCAGGTTTGGCTAGTAGCAGGCCATCTGGAGGACATTAATGCTCCTTCCTACTCTGACTCCCTGGGCAGTTGATTATGAAGACAGTGTAACTTTGCCGATGTGGCCATCCAGCCACCACCTTGCTTATTTTAGCCCTTCCCTTCCTGTTTCTCTCCTGCCAGTGCCTAAGGGGACTTAGGAACAAGAACCAACCCTAGTAAAGCATTCCACCCAGGCAAGTGATGGCACTGATCTTCCCCACACCTGGCCTTTGGCCCACACCCTTTCCATAACAATGGCAGCTTAGTCAAACTGAGAACTAAGGTTTGGTGGAGCACCAAGTGTCACTGTTTTCCTCCAGCCAGAATTTGGATGTGGAAGAGGTATATACCAAAGAAAGCAAAGGAGTGATTGAATTTCAGGTGGCTGGCATTGCTAATCTATAAAACAACTACTAAGAGTTTAGTATTGTTCACCCACCAGTTTAGCATTTTTATAAAAAGTTGGTGACAAAAATGTTTAGCTGTTATGTATTTCCTTCACATTTATCAACATCTATAGGGTATAATCTTCTTTTCAGTAGCAATGTCAGATTAGGCCCAAATAAGGGCGTAGTGAATATTTTCATTGATATCTGTAATGGAGATGCTATGTTGTCTTAGTTATATTCAGGCTAATCAAGTATCTGTAGTGTTACTAGCCTTCAACATAACCCGCGGGGGCGGGGAGGAGGGGGTAGGGATGATTATTAGGTACCTACCACTGGCAGGTCAAAGTGCAAGAAGGAAAGAATGTGGCAGGAAGAACTGTGCATTCTAAGGAAATTGCATATGCAGTTATCGCAGATTCCAGTTAGTGATGAGTTGCTTGCTTTATTCTCTAGTCCATCCCCTATTTCATCTTCACTCCCAGAAAGAGCAGCATAATGGTGAGATTGCTGCTTAGATGTTCTGGAATAGGAATTTGAATGAGGGGAAGAGGCTTGGTGAATGAAGAGTAGGAAGCTTTTAACAGGAATGTCAAAGTAGTAGTGGAGTGGGAATAACTAAGCAGCTTCATTTGATTACAACTCATTTGCAGTGGGCGGTTAAGGCAGGCACCAGGCCAGCATCACCACTTTATAAATAATAAATCTGTGGTGGTGATGTTGTGAAAGACACATGGTAAGGTTGCATCAGCATCGGTATGGCAAAATATTACAAAAAGGGTGAGACTGTCTGGAGAATCACCTGTTTGGAAAGGGATCAGGCTACAAATTACGTTCAGAATACCTTGAATGTATAGCGTAGCTATAATCTGGAATGTTAACAGTGGGAACAAAAGTCATCAGCCAGAGATGGCGTATATGCTAGGATATTCACAAAATACTCATATAAGGGTATTCATTGGTATTTAGCATATAGTATTTCTGTATTGAGGAAAATAGCAAACTGAAAGCATACCTCATTTCTGTTCTTCAAGAGCCAATTTCACCTGTTTGCTACTTTCTTACAACTTGAAAGTGTGCAGCCAGTAATTGATCCTTAGGATACCTTTTGCCATTATAGCAAAAGGATTAAAGTAGAAACCAGCTATTGAGAGAAGTGAGAATGTTAGGAAATGTTTACCTCCTACTTCATCCTTTCCCTTAATTACCTCTTACCTCCTTCCAAATGGTCATGTTATTTACGTCACCCATCATTCAGGGAAGATACTATCAGTAAACCAACGTGGCCGCACACAAATGCCATTTTCCTCAGCTGACATCTACAAGATAATTATCTTTGTCTAAACAAGTGCCAATTTTTCACTAGGAGGGGGGGTAAATTTAGAATATACAGTCTTCCAATTGACACTATTGACCAGTGAAAGTTGACAAGATCTAGATGCTTATATGAACTAGCTCAACCTTGTTTCATTTACAAAATCCACAAGAAATTAAGGGGGAAATTATACGAGGATAGGTAGTTTATTATAAGAATTTACTTCTTAAATTACAATGGAAATGTCTCATGCAATACATTGGGAATTCATTCTTGAATAATACTAATAATTGATTTCTTCTTGAAGGAAAAACTATATCCAGCAATTCAGATATGGCAGAGGTGAAGTCCATGTTCCGGGAAGTTCTTCCAAAACAAGGTATTTAAATAACAATTACTTAAGTGATAGGATATAATAGGAACATAAAAAGTAATAGGCAGGGTCACATAGTAGGCTCAATAGCTAAGAATATGAAACTACTGTGTTCTGTGTCCCACATTTACTGTCCATCAATCGCTTTATTTTTCCCAGTAAAAGGATGACAAATGAAGCACTGTTTCTTAAACCTAGAAAGCCTGTTATATTCAAGATTGCAGGTTACAACCAAAATTCTTAATGAAAAAGTGCACTGTAATACACCATAATCTCTATATATGTGTGTTTGTGTGTGTGTGTATATAAGCCTAAGCGACCATTACTACCAAACGACCAGAACACCTGATCAACCAGTTGCTATGACACACACTGAACACCAGGGGGCAGATGCTCAATGCAGGAGCTGGCCCCTGGTGGTCAGTGCACTCCCACAGCCAACTTCCTGCGGCCCCTCCCCTTCTGGCCGGCCCCCATCAGCCCCTGGTGCTAAACCATTCGTAGAGCTGGGTCGGGGTTTCATAGGTAGCAGAGCAGCTCCCTTGCTGTGATCTATTGAAAGTCAGCCCTGGACACAAGGGTTTGTCTTGCTCCCGTCCTCTCCCTTCCCCAGGGGCTGCCCACCTGCCGAGGTGGCGGTGTGGAGGCGAGGGGAGGAGGAGGGGTGAGGCGGGGCACCGACAGTGGCATCGGCGTCCAGGGTCCGTTCCTTCTGCACCTGGCCCGGCGACTGTCATCTCTCCAAGCCCCGGCTGGGACAGGGAACCAGGGGTGGGTGGTGGCAGATGCGGCCCCTTTCCCAGGGGGGCCAAGGGCCAGCTCCCTCCTCAGGGCCAGCGGCCAACCTCCCGTGGTCCCTCCCCCCCACCTTTGTGCATGAATTTGTGTACCGGGCCTCTAGTATTAAATAAGGTCTGAATCTGGGTAAAACAAAACAAAAAACAAACACAAAAAAAACCCTAAATCAAACAATAGTAAGAAATGCTGAAGTTTTCAGTGGAACACTCAGGAATTTGAAATATTTGTGTTAAATTAATGCCATACTTCACTATGTAAGTATTTTTAGGTACTATGCATTTCTTCCAAATCTTTGGTGTCTTTATATAACTTAGAATCTTAGCTATAAAGTTTGAAACTTGTCTTCCTCATGAACTCCCTAGCATTAAATGCTTTTATGTTTATAAAATTTAGAAATGTTACAGGGGTAGACTATGAGAACAAGAGATTTTCATTAATGGGTTACGTTTTTAGACCTTCATTCTAACTGCAAATCCAAACTGCCAAACAACTGGATTATCTCAATCAAATTCTTATTTCTTTTTAAATTTAGGGCAGTTGTCTGTGGAAGATATAACCACAATGGTGCTGTGTAAACCCAAACTTTTACCCTTAAAATCTCTAACTATGGAAAAACTGGAGAAAATGCAGCAAGCAGCACAAGAAACAATTCGCCAACAAGAAATGGCAGAAAAGGACCAACAGCAAATGACTCGCTGAATAACTTAGCACTTCTACCTTACTATTAACAGTAGCTAGAAAATAATCCACCTGTATGCTGAAAGTAGTATGTGTTAATAAAACTGATATTCATATAGGTAATATAAAGTACCCAAGACTAATGAAACCTGCATGGTTTGTAATGAATATAAGCCATTAACCAAACTAACCCAAATCTTGTGTTTTTTTACCCAAGTTTTTAGAACTACCAATTAGGTTAGTGTTCACCATTACCATTACACAGCTGATACCATTCTTAGGCATAAGTGACTAAATACAACTTTTATATTCAGAGAATTTTTAATGTTTATTAAAAACTGAATTTAGAGATACATTCGAATCTTGCATTAAGTGTTCAAGATGGACTTTTACATTACCTAATTTTTAAAACTTTTTATGAATTTGGTGTGACATATCATGTTTAAGGCTATTTTGCCTTAAACAGATCCTACTAGTCATGACAAAACTCTATTTCTTAAAATAAACTTAAGAAACCCTCACATGAGCTTTTAATTATACTGATTTCAAGGACTTAATGAATTACTGGCTACCTTTATCATCCAGGTATCAAAACCCTAGAAATGGAAAACAACATGGATTTAAAAGAGCCCATGAGATAAACATGAAATTCAATCTGTAGTGTTAGTCCTAAAAGAGTGTACTGAAACCTATAATAAATATATTCCCAAAAATACCTTTGTAAATTCTGAATATAATCCTTGGTTGGTTGGCTGCAATCAGTAATAGACAATTTAAATTAGCAGACCTTAAGGCCTTCCTGCATAATTAAAGCTCTGCAAAAGAAGTTAGAAATGTGATCATTCTTCAGATAATTATTTATTGGTAACTACTATTTTCTCAGACACTGAATAAATGCAAAACTTTGAGTCTTGAAGAATAATATTTTGAGACATTATTTGGTAATAGAACTTACTAATGATGAAAAAAGGCCCTGGCTGGTTTGGCTCCGAAGGGTCTCAGGTTCAATTCCCAGTCAAGGGCATGTACCTGGGTTGCAAATTCAATCCCCGGACCCTACTAGGTCGGGATGTGTTCAGAAGGCAACCAATTGATGTTTCTCTTCTCTTCTCTCTTTTGCTAATCCCTTCCTTTTCCCTTCCCTTCATCCCTTCCACTCTCTCAAAAAATAAAAATAAAAATAAAAGGAATGGAAAGAATATCCTTGGGTGAGGATTAACAACAACAAAAAAAGAGAATGATGAAAGGTAACATATATTTTAGAAATTTCATTAGGCTATAGATAAAAACTTTTTTAAAGTGTGCATGCATTTCCCAAGTATAATAGTAAAAGAAATTATTACTATTGTATTTTTGATATAAAAGTTTGTAAGAAAGTTTAAATTCACTAGGTTCAAATGCACTCTCTTATATGATTTTATTTGCTATATGAATAAAAGTATTTTTAAAAACCTAAAATAAATGTACTCCCAATAAAGAATCAACACTGTTTCACATGTTTTATTTTGTCATACATTCTTCTAGAACCGGGTTCATTTTTCCAGTTTTGTAGAAAAATAAATGTTCCAGCCACCATTTACTTAACTGTCTAGTCTTTAAGACCAATCAATATGTTCCCTGGAAAGATGAATAAGTCTCCTGACTAACTCATTTTCTTAAAATTCTTTAAGACAAAGAAATAACTTTTTTTTTTTTACTCCCAAAGCACAGTATTTCAACAGCAGCAGCCAAAATGGGGTTTTAGCAGCTTAACTTTACCCCCTAAATAAAGCTTTGTATAAACCAGTGATTTTACTACAAAAACACTGTCCTTGAAAGAAAGGAATAGCAATCTGACATCAATGCAAAACTTGGAATGATTAGGTCATAAACATGGCACTTACAAAAGGTAGCTTATGAGAACACTCCACTTAAGAAGTGGTTACTTTTCTGTCCCTCCTTTACACTGTCAACAAAAAAAAAACAGGGAAACACTTCCTTTAAAAATTCCCCTTAATTTAAGTCTATAAAATTTCAGAAATGCCTTGTACCCAAAACAAGTGTTTAAAAACAAACAAAAAAACTGTGCTAACAACTCTTACAATTCAGAGATATATATATATTTTTATAACATCTAAGACTGCAAGAGTTCTTATATTCAGTAGCTCTCTGGTTTAAGACGACCTCCATCTCCTTCACTTACAAAACGTTTTCTGCCCCTGTAATGCAAAGAACATAAATGTGAAAACATACAAATTCTGACAACAGTCAATTTAAACAACTTAGGTTATTCATTAAGTTTTGAAAGGTTTTATTGTTTTTTAAAAAGTTATTATGGCTCTAAAGCTTTTGTAAAACTCTTTTCCTGCTATATTTTTCCTAGAATTCAATATCCTATTGAATAAAAGCTTAATTATTAAAATAAGTTCATCGTTCAAAGGTGTCATGTTAAAAAATGTTAAAATATAGGACAAACGTTTGTTAGAAATTTAATATTTCTGTTATTAATATTATTTGAAAGCTAAACAGCCAAATAGGAAACAACAATATAATCTGGAATTATGCAAACTAGAGCTATACAACTTATCAAAATATCCATGTTTAAAATATCTTTAAAAAAATTTTTTTCAGATGTAGAAAAGCCATAACCTGAGTATGGAAAAATAAATCAGAATCAAATTAATTCCAGTCCATACCCATTTTGGGGATTCATGTTATTTCAAGTGACCTTGCTCTGTACTGTAACCACATTCTAGCTACATGTATCAACAGCCCAGGAGAAATAGTTGACCACCAGCCTAAAGCAGTAAGCAGAAAACAGAGCTTGGGCAGAATTAGCCCTTATTCTCTGACCCTAGACCAACATGCACAGGCACTTGAGACCACACACAAATGTGCAGTTCACAAACTAAGCAAAAGGAGAGAGGATAAATAGTCAAGAGTTTAGGTATCTCTTCAAATGACACTTGATAGTAAGGCCATAACAGAAGTAACTGGTTAGACCTTTGAACAGAGGCTGAAACTTTTAAAAAGCCAGTGCCAGGGTGTTGACCCTTTTTCACACTAAGTCTAACTGTAAACCAGCTATATTTTTGTGAACATAAAGACATACACTGTAATATTAGGAGACCAAGGTGGGGAACAAAACAGTAAGTTGGGAGAAGTCTTGCCAAAGTTGACAGTTTAACAGATGTATACCACTTGGCACATCAATACATAAAGAATGCCATCACCAAGTAGAGATCTACATTTTCAAATATTTTTATCAAAGCCATTAAATTATATCTTCCACTGTTACCTTTTCCTTCTCTCTTAATGGCTTTCATTTTCTACAAGGGACACTGCCAGGAAGTATTTCTCTGAGATTTAACACTCACAATATACTTAAATAAAAATACACAAACTTTTAAATATATTAAAAAAAAAAAGGCCCTAATCGGTTTGGCTCAGTGGATAGAGCGTCGGCCTGCAGACCGAAGGGTCCCAGGCTCGATTCCAGTCAAGGGCATGTACCTTGGTTGCGGGCACATCCCGACTGGAGATGTGCAGGAGGCAGGCGATCGATGTTTCTCTCTCATCGATGTTTCTAACTCTCTACCTCTCTCCCTTCCTCTCTGTAAAAAATCAATAGAATATATTTTTAAAAAAATACACAAACTTTGAAAATTTTTTATGAAAATTATAAAAACTTAAAATGTATGTAAAATAGACTCACAAAGACTAGCTATTACTAAAGAGTTAGATCTTCATAGCACAAATATAAAGTAAGATCCAATTAGCCCCAATTCTCCATTCTATGAAGGAGCAAAAGAAAGCAACTTAAGAGTACAGGAATGATCCTAACATCTTTGAAGCCAGAAAAAGTCTGGATTGATCCTTGGCCTCTACCATTTGTGACCTTAGAAAAGGCATATTACACCTCCCTAAGACTCAATTTTCTCATTGATGATAACATCGATACTGAAATAGTATTTAAACTTCTTAGAAAAGAACTGCTCCACAAATTTTGACTTCCAGTGGTTTTATGAGATTAAATTCACAAGGGGGCAAAATAAGCTTCACCCTTGTTTCTCCATAAACACAAAATAGATGATTTTCACTCTTGAGTGGCTCCAGGGAAGTATTAGTATTATTTTTCTGACAGAACTGGAATGATGGAAAATTAGCTTAGCCTACTAAGCACCTCAGTATTTTAAGTTGGAAAAAGTAGTAAAAATACCTTGAAGGACAAAGATCTCTGAGTTGTTTGGAAATTATTCCAGCCTGAAAACATTCTTCTACAAATCTCTCAAGCACGGAGTATGAATATGGGACATCCAGATTAATGTCCGGAATTTCATTATAAATTCTCTCATAACCCTAAAACAATGAAATTGTATACAAAATTGTTAACCCATATAAAATACATAATGCCATACAATTCTTCACTGTCATCAAGCTATATTTAAGGCCAAATGTTTACATAAAAAGACTAAAGTCAGGTCTGAACCTTGAAACAGGTACATTTGTTATAGGATGTTTTATTTAAATCTGTTCTCTCAAATGATCTTGAGGCAGACTCAGATATAGGACACATTTCTTTCTCATATACTTCTCTATATACAGGGATGGGCAAAAGTAGGTTTCCAGTTGTAGTACAAATAATACAATAATTAATAAATAGTACAACAATAAACTGTTTCCCACACAACTGTAAACCTACTTTTGCCCACCCCTGTACATTTACATTTTAAAAAAATAAAAGGCAAGTAAGAACGAACCTCACCAACACTTAAATAGCAAATGCATACAATTTTAAATAGGAATAAATTACTTCAAAGTATAATTTGCTAAATGTTTGTTTCTCCTTAAATATAAAATAGAAATTATACCTTAGAAATAGAATTCTTAAGGAAGAACACACAATCACATCTTTTAAAATGCAGGTTAAAAAAACCTATTGAAGTGTTACTTTCCAAAAAAAATGGCTGCAAGAGATTCAAACATAAGCAGTGCTATTTAAAAACAAACGAAAAGCTATAGACATACTACTGCTAAACATATCTAAAGGAAAATTTTATTAACAATTCATTATCTTTATTCAATCATATATTTAAGGTGTAAGCCTAAAAATTGTTCAAAAAAATGTTATACTTACTCTTTTCATTTGGTCTAGAGTAATCGTAGAAGATTTCCAAAGGGATTTTAACAAATCCAAAATCATCTTAAATGTACTTTCTCCAGTTGACTCCAAAACCATTACAATGGCCTTAAAATTGAATGAATACATGAAGGTATTTGTGGTCATTAATTCACGTAAGAAACTGCTGTTAAATGTATCAGATTCCTTTAATCTGTAACTATAATTCTTATAAAAGTTTAAAAACAATTTTCTCCATTAACATTAACTTGTTTTTTAATCCTCACCTGAGGATGTTTTTCATTGATTTTCAAAAAAACAAGATGTATATTATTAAAGAAGTATCATGTCACTGTAATACAAAAAAGGAACACAATAGCCCTAGTTGGTGTGGCTCAGTTGGTTGGAGCATTGTCCCATGTGCACCAGAGGTCTCAGGTTCAATTATTGGTCAGGGCACATACCTAGGTTGCGGATTTGGTCCTTGGTCAGGGCATGTACAGGAAGCAACCGATCGATGTATCTCTCTCACATTGATGTTTCTCTTTCCCTTCCTTCTCTACAATCAATTTTTTAAAAAGGAACACAATAATTCTCTTTGGGATATCAAAATAATCTTACTTCATATACAAGCTCATGGTGAAAATGAGGTACTTCCAGGTCCTTAAGGCAATGTTCAGCTTCAGATATGTCTCCAGAGAGTAAGTACTCTTTCAGCAGCATATCAATCTATTAAATTAAAAAATTGAGATGTGTTAGAATTTCTGATTTTTTAAATAACTGTGCTTTGTCTAAAGGATTTACTTACCCTCATCTCAATATATTACATGATGAAATAGCAGATTACAAATAGCTAAGAACATATAGACTTGACATGTCACAATCATTAAATTTTCATGCTTAAAAAGTAAATCTCCAATTTTAAATGGTTCATAATTATGAAGAAAATGAAGTGATTCTGTGTTTCTTAATAATCACTGAGAGTTATGAATAGACTTAAGATGTACACGGCCTGAGTTGTGACCATAATTCTTTAATACTCCCTGTAAAACAAGGGATCTTAAATACCACTAGAGGGCACTAACTGAAAGTCTCAAAATGAACTTTTGAAGTGGTACAAATTCTCCCTTTCATCAAGATGACCTTAATATTGTACTAGGAGCCAAAAAATGAAATATCAGGGCTTTACTAGACAGGGTAAAGATTTCCATATACTTTTCTCTACAACTGAGGATTTGAAAACCATTATCTAAAACGTTCATCAGTAATTCAGCTTCCAATAATATATATCTAGAGGCAAGTCTTGTCTTATTCAAATTTATACAGTAACATCTATGGCCCTAGAGAAAATGGGGAAAAGTTTTTGAACAAGAGAATGTCAATTAA